AATGACAATATCTGAACTTTCTTTCACCACTTCCGTGCCCTGAATTCCCATTGAAAGGCCGATATCAGCTTCCTTTAATGCAGGAGCATCATTTGTGCCATCACCAGTTACTGCCACAACATGACCTTTCTTTTTCAGGCATTGTACCATTAGAAGTTTGTCGGAAGGAGATGATCTCGCCATCACGCAGATTTTATCAACTTTTTCCATTCGTTCCTCTTCTGTATAGTTGCGAAATTCAACTCCTTCCACCACCGATCCATTATCAATTTCCTCAGTCATCTTGAGTATTCCGCATTCGGTGGCTATTGCTCTTGCAGTGAAAACATTATCACCAGTTATCATTTTCACATTCACCCCTGCATATTGACAATCTTCCACAGCTGTCTTCACACCGGGTCGACATGGATCTTTTAGGCCGATGAGGCCCAAAAGGGTTAATCCATTATCTTGAATCTTTTGCTGCCCATTCGGATTGACATGACCTGCCTTTAAAACCTGCGTGTGCGCAAATGCAATGCAGCGAAGACTACTCGCAGCCATACCTTGTATTATTCGTTCAAATTTCATCCTGTTGAAATCGTTGAGAGAATTCACATTTCCTTCCAAATCATAGTAATGAGAGCACATTTTTAGTACCATTTCAGCAGCTCCTTTCCAGTGTGCGTGAACCGTGTCATCTTCAACCTTCTTCATTGAAATGCCACTTCTCTTTTTCTCCGAATTGAATGCTTCCACGTGCAGAACGCTACAATTCCCCTTGACCTTCTCGATATCCATATTCAATTCCAGCACAGCCCATGAAAGAATAGCCTTTTCGGTGGGGCTACCGTAGAACTCAAATCCTGATGCACAGGATCGATAAACACTCCCTGTCGTATTAAGACCGACCCCTTGACGCAGCAATTCTAGAACATTGGCTGCAATTGAAACGCAATTTTTCCCTTCGACAGTTTCTTCCCCCAACCAAAACTTAGTTACCTTCATCTGATTTAATGTAAGAGTACCTGTTTTGTCGGTACATATTGTAGTGGCAGATCCCATTGTCTCGCAAGCAGAGAGCCTTCGAACCATAGCCTGATCGGCCATCATTCTTTTCATCGAATAAGCAAGAGTGAGTGTGACGGCCAAAGGCAATCCTTCTGGAATTGCAACAACTACAATAGTTACTGCAGCTGCAATAATTCCCAGGACTCCATTTATCACATCATCAACCTTAGTCTTACCGAATCCATTGAACTCTTTATTCCCATTTCCATCTGTTGTATTTCCTGTAAAGAATCGAACCAGTAGCACGAGAAGTACTAGAAAAGCTACTGCTAAACCAACCTTACCTATTGATGAAGTTAGCTTGTTTAGTCGAGCTTGAAGAGGCGTTTG